ATTTCTTTTTATTTTCCAAAATATTTATCCTTTTTTGATATTTATTTTTGAATTACGGACTTTTTCAACACTGATCACTCTGATTAAAATACAACATTGGTATAACATATAACATGTATGTTAACATATAAATCAGTAACATAAAAGCGGAATGTCTATGATTGTTGACTGGGTGATCAGAAAAAATATCACAGATTCATGTTTCCTTCAGTTGTAAATCTAAAATTGATTGTGATAGAAATTTATTTAAAAGTGTCTTACTTGACAGAGATCTGTAAACGATTAATGTTTATTTCCCTTAATTTTAGTACTAAGTTTGGAGTGAAACTTGAACTTAACATATACTGCGGTTATTTATATGACAATACATTTGTGCTTGTATATACATTCTGTATCCATCCGAAGACAAACTCTAGACTCAAATTTCTCAATTGAAACAATTAAAATACTATATGCGAAGTGTATTCAGTCCACAATATCTGAACTCCTGGTGGTCAGCAGATGAAGATAATAACTGAGTTTTGATATTTAAAGGCGTGTCGCTGAATTATGTGAGTTATATGTGTGGACTGATGAACTTAAAAATCACAATTATTTTCAGTTAAACATATTCAAATATGAACATGTGGATTTGTATGTTTTCATATAAGGAGTACATACACATACATACATAGATAGGATATATAGATCCACAAGAAATTCATTACTCCTAAAACCCTTTAGAATTATTTCACAGATCATATGATGTTCTTTTGTAGCAACAACAATATTAAAAATTAAATTATCAACTATAAATTTTCAACTTTTTTTTCTCCAAATATGTTACATACCTAAAGATCACGTACTGAATCTCAAAAAAACATTCTTTAATAAAATTTAAATTGTCGACAGTGAATATATTTATTTGCAGTTATTGCTCATTTCTTATAATGATCGTTTAGTTTTGATTCTAAGTACGTGGTGTTCATAATTATAGTAGAATTATAGTAGATCTGTACGCACTAGAAGCCTGCCTATTTCACCAGCATTCAGTAATCTGTAGGCTAAGCATTCTGTTAGTAAGCACAGTAAACTTTAATATATTCCATGAAAAATGTTCACTATTCAGATTTACCTCTGCTATGTGTTCTGAGAACCTGTTATTACATCAGTTATCTTCTTATACAAACGTACTTATCCTCTTCTAATATTTAAGCATATGTGTATAGAGAGATTCATAAAATTAGAAACAGTTAGTTTGAAAATATATTACTAAATTCAATGATTTCTTACCAGGGATTCAGAATCATAAACAAGACGATCGAAATCAGAACCGAGAAACGATTGCAAAAAATATATATTCAACGTTGACAAATGGTTTTTTTATTGAAGAATCCATTTCTGATGGTAAAAACTGTTGTTCATGCACTTGATTCCTAATTTGTTGTTGTTGCTCTACCAGAGCTCTATTGATCGTTCATTAAGCCAATATCATTTTTTATTTTTCAAAATGATGTGTATAAAATATATGAATCAAAGTTCAAAAATTTGTTGGTATTATCGTTTGATAATAATTATTTGCGATTAACGATACAATGCAAGTCAGTTGGTGACCTGAAGTCAACTCTTTATATATTGCACTAATTAATCGAAATCCACGTGGGAGAGAATCTACGAAGTAAAAGTGCAACGATGCACAACGAATTAAGCATAGGAGTCCAGAAGCGTTAATAAGGAAATTTACACAGATTTTAATGAATGAAAGATAACAAAAATCAATCCAATTTTGTTCTAGAAGTATTTCCACCGGTTCAGTTATATAATGATGTACATATAATAATTTATGTATATATGTTTATTTATATGATAGATTTTAGAATTCTATATCACAAAATTCCTTCTCTACTTCTTCAATGTGTAGGTTTTTTAAATCAAAGTTATTTAGGTTTTATAAGGTTTTTTGTTTTCTCTCTTGTATGTTTTCTCTTTAAAGAAATTTATAAAAAAAGAAATATTAAAATAAAGAAGGAATGGAAGTAGAAAGAATCTCGTCTTCAAAACTCGGCGATCAGAACTAGTAGCAAACAACCACTGTATTCATTTTATCATCAAGTGAAAAGCTAAAAGACTGCATTTATGTAGGTGAATTTATGGGAGCTAAAAAATTGTGTTGGTAATATTGTAACCACACATTTTTTTCAAAATTTATATTAATCCAGTGTGCAGAATTCTCTTTTGGATACCCAATATACATAGGTACTAAATTTTTATCACATAACATATCAACCTGTTGATTATTACCTAGTAACCACTACAGGTATAAAGAGTTATAGAATGTAATTCACAACGTTTTGTCGAAGTGTTCGATATGTCATACTGCTTTTCGGTGTGTCCCTGATAGTAATAGTTAATACATCAAGACCGAAAAGTTTTCGGAAATTTCATTAAAATTCGCGCGCTGTATATTTCGATATTTTAAGTTAATGTAGTGGCAGCAAATTAAGACAATACATGCCAAAAAGACCGCACTGTCAGACAGTTCGTTACGGCGCTGTTGAACCAAGTTCACACTCAGTAGTGCGTTGCAAAAAAAACAAATGGAAAAAAATATTGAAAAAAGAGTTTGCATCAAATTTTGTGTTTCGAACGAAATTTCGTGTGCAGAATCGTTGCGAATGCTACAAAAGGCTTATGGGGAATCAGTTTTATCGAAAACTCAAGTTTATGAGTGGTACAAAGCCTTTCAGGACGGTCGTACGACCGTCGAAGACATTTCGCAACGCACTACTGAGGGGAACTGGTTTCAACAGCTGCCGTAAACGAACTGTCTGACAGATCGCGCTCATTTTTGGCATAGTAATTAAGGACAGTGCTGCCAAACTACATAAACTTAAAATATCGAAAAATATACAGCGCGCGAATTTTAAATGAGAATTTCCGAAAACTTTTCAGTCTTAATGTAATATGGAAAATAATATAAATAAGTGCAATTATCTACTTTATTTAAGTAAACAATTGAATATACAGAAAAACCTAATGAATAATCATATGGTTCATAAGAACAGCAACCTCTACCTCAAAAGTTGTATTTAAATTTCACAGTAAATACTAATAATCACATATTTGAAAGTTCCTACATATAGACGATCACTTTTTCAAAATATTAAAATAAATGGTGATCTCAAGTTGTAGAATAAAAACAGAAAATTATGATTTCAATGTATTGGGACAACAAACGTATGGAAATCAATTTTGTCGAAAAACGATGACAAGTCATTTCTTTCTAACGCTTATGTTAGGTAAATTTATTCCCAAACATTAGATGGGTTGATTAAGCAAGTCATATAAATGCGGTGATGTCTCCACAAAAGAATAAAGATGTGTACATTAATTTACGGAAACTTTAGAAAAAATCTTACTTGGGCTTCTGAGATATAGTCTAAACTAAACTTCTGAGATATAATCATGACTTTTTATGCCAATTAATATGGTAAAATACAAAGTTATTACACTAAATAATACTAACAAAAAAATGGTTAGGCAAGGTTTGTAGTGTTAGTCTCATATTGCAGTGAGAATCTTTCTTAGAAAACTATTGCATTATCCTAAAATTTCAATATTAGAAGAATTACTCAAGAAAATCTTAAAACGCTGCAGAGTGCTTTAGTTTATCTATCACTTTATGTGTGGAGTTTTAAATATTTAATTGTAGAGAAGCGCCCTTTATATCTATAAATTCTAAAGAGTTGGTTTAAGAGAATTGGTAGATTTATTGACGTCCTCAGATATATATGTACGGAAAAGGAAACAAGTCGTCCAACTATTAGTGTATAAATATTAGCGTAATCTGTTTTTTAGCGGCAAGAAAGTGTTGCAATTTATTTCTAACAATTTTATGGTATGTCTTTGAAACAGACAAAAGCATATTTTAGAAAAATATCTAAATTAAGTTTACTTTTATGACGAATAAAACAGACTTCACACATTACTGTTGTTTTGATATCCTATTCAAATACATATGTCGGTTCTTCGATTGTTTCTTATGGATAATTGAATAGGAATATTTAATTCTACATATATTATAAATTTTTTCAAATTACGCAGTTCTCTTGGATTTCCGGTACACTGTTTTAGTAACTTAAAAAAATAATAATAAATAAAAATATTTATTAAAGCGGGTTCAACCCTTGTTAATTGCAGTCTTAAAAAAAATTTAAAATTTAAAAATTTAAAATTTACGAATAATTAAATATAAGAAATAATTCCAAGACCACTGGCGATGAGTATTTGGCTATACTCGAACAGCTGAATGACCACCCAAAATATTAATTTATTATAATATTGTAATAATTCTTGGTTTTGTACTCCATTACTGTTTGAAACCACTCCATAAAATTGCAATTATACATTTAAGTGCTTTATAACAATTTCTCCTTAGGTTTTGTAAAATATAGAAACTACAGCTTTCATACTATATATACTCTACGAGTCTTCTGTAGTCAAAAGAACACTAGCTATAAAGACATACTGTATCTCTTATGAATATCTAAGATAATTTCTTTGGTAACAC